AGTGATGTGAGGAGAAATTGCATGCTAGTCACTCTTAAGGGCCAAAGCGTCAAGGAAGGTAACCAAAACCAAGCAAATGGTTTTCAGGTGCACGTCTAATGTGTTTGGACGTGAGTGAGTAAAACTGGGTCACATATCATGAGAGTGATCAAGACTCAGGACTCAAACTTTCTGAATAACCTGCTGTCTCACAAAGACTAAGTATCGTGAGGGGAAAATCAATCACTTATTCTAGGAACTCTAAAAGGTCAAAATTTAAAGAATAAGCCTGTTTTCATCAATTAATCAATTTATCTCTCCACATATATACATGTATATTTTTTTCTTTCGCATTTCTTTGACACTTAACCAAGTCCCCATTTTGACTTCCTGTTAACTCGACCCAGTTCTTTAGCTCACATCTAATCTAGTAGATCTTTTTCCTGTGGGCGTTAGAGTGCATTCCACTGACGCAAGTCGGGTCATGTGGGTGAGCATAACAGTACTCATTTACATAATGATATTCTCATTCACAAAATTGTTGGACATGAATTTCATCACCGTTATCAACAAGTTGTCGCTTTCGAAGCGATGCGTTTCCTTCGCTTCTAAATAACTTTAAACTAGTTCTAAAAAAAATACCCGACAAATCTGCTGAGATAAAGGTGAGTGAATGCTTGAGTGTTTGATCGTCAAGAAGGCTAGGAGGATGCGAGACTAATTATGATCATCGATCAAGCGTGAAGCGTGCGATACGCCACGTGGTTGCGCGTGACCTCGGCCCAGTCTTCACGCGACTTTCAATTAAAAACAGGAACTCGATGAATACTGACTTTCATCGCGTTCTAGTCGTTTTGTGAGGAAAGCCGGTTGGCAGGCTTCACAATGTCGACAAAGAACCTTCTATCAACCTTCGCTGTCCATTATTTTGGCTTCACAATGGCGTTGGACTACTCTATTGTGCTTTTGTCAGTAGAAGAATTATGGAGTTCCCTTGGTGGAAGTGCAACTTTGTTTGGTTTCATGTTCGGTAGTTACGCTCTTGCTCAAGCCGTTGTTTCGCCTCTACTGGGCTACATCTCGGATTTGCGTGGCTTAAAATTCGCCGTGATGTTGTCATTGATTATTAATGTAACGGGAAATGGGTTGTATGGCCTATCCGTTTTGGCGCAATCGCTTCATATGGTTTTTGTCGGTCGATTTGTAGCAGGCCTTAGCGCGGGTTCGGTGACCCTTTCGCTAATCTACTTGACGAACACGACTCCGCGAGAAACCCGTGGAAGATCTGTGGCTAGCTTCAAGCTTGCCCAAGCAATTGGCCTGTTAGGGGGGCCTTTAATTGGAATGTTTCTCGTACCTCTTCTGGCAGGTCATGAAGAGACGACCACAACGACTAGTAAAATATTCAACTTGTATACAACCCCTGCTTGGTTGGCGACCGCGAATGTTGTGTTAATCATGTTACCACTGATAAAATTCTTTTTTAAGAACCCTATGGCGCCACACATGGCAATGAAGTTTAATTGCAGAGAGGCGAAAAGACTCGTTGTCCACTCTACATTGTTGATGTTGTCAGTGTTTTTCGGAACGGCGTGTTTCTGGGGAATTATCAGTGACTTATTCACCCTTGCGTTCGGACAGTACCACCTGATATCGTCGGAGAGGGACTTATGGAAAGTTTATATTTCTGGTGGAATCGCTTTCGTTGTCGCTGGAACTGTCATACGGGGAACAATTCACCGAAAACTATCCCCCGCGATGTTCTCAATTCTTGGATTGATTGTTAATGTCTGGGGATTTGTTTTGCTTATAGATTACAAATTATCCGACAAAAGTTTGCAGAATGGCTTTTACTTCGGAGCGGTGGCTCTTTCCACTTCCGGCGGAGCGTTTTTCTTCACTGGCGCGGGTGTTTATTACTCGCAAAAGATCACCGATTTCAGCGACGAGGCGAGAAACCGCCGCGGAGTTTTTCTCGGTGTTTTCAATCTCGCCGAGGCACTCGGCAGATTTGCCGGGCCCGCTGTTGTTTCATTGTTTCTTCGTTTAACAGACAAAGGAACCGCACGATGCGAGTCAGTCAAATTTGATCCTACCCACTGTCAAGTTTTGAACGTAAACATCGTTCTCGCCGTCCTCTGTGGAATTCTGTCTATAAACCTACTACTGTTTATATATTACCATGTTGTTCACGGGAAGAGGCGGACAGATGGATTCCTGCTCAGTAATACGGACGTTACCAACCCTGGTGAAGGGCGACTCAGGTTTACGGACGAGACGGATGATTATTTAGACAGGGAAAACGAGAGAAGAGTACCTTTCCGTTCTCAGATGGAATTATCTCCCCCTCAAACTCATAGGAGATCATCTCATGCTTCTTCTCAGGACAGCAGTATACACACTGTCTGATCGGTTTAATTTCAAATGTACAAAGTATGAATATAAAACACTCAAATCTTTGATAGTAGGGTGTATAAGGTTCCACCCCAAAGTTCCAATTATCTGAGATTTTCTTTCGGCACTGCGGCTGAGTGTTTGATTGAATTCAAACTTAGATTACAATGAAAATTGTCTTTAAATATTACCACCCGCTTTGGCATCCCATACAAGTTCTATGCAAATTTTTGAGAATGTATTAACGAATTTAATATCGTCACGCAATCTTCCAGTGAATCGCCGGAATTTTTTAGCCGAACTTTAGCATGGAAATATACAGATGAAGACAAGAAAGAGATCTATGCTTTTAATATCAAAAAAATTTCGAGAACGTTATCTCGTTATTCATAATTTATTTTTCC